TTTTTTTTTTTGATAAACACTTAATTACCTTCTAACTGGTATCTTTTCATTTCATGCCATCAAGTCCATTCTCATGCTATAGCTTAGGCAGGGATAGACCTGTATGCTGTAGGTTACGTACCTATACTCCCCCGCACCGATACTCCCCCACTTCTTTACATCCCCGCACCGATACTCCCCTGCTTCTTTACATCCCCGCATCGATACTCCCCCTCTTCTTTACATCCCCACACCGATACTCCCCCTCTTCTTTACATCCCCACACCGATACTCCCCAGCTTCTTTACATCCCCGCATCGATACTCCTCTGCACTGATAGTCCCACGTACCTATATACTCCGTAAAAACACTTCTCCCCCACGGCATAGATTCCCTTGGCTTTGTAAACACAATTCGTGATTCAAAACCCTTTCTATAATGCTTTCCTTTCAAGACGCACCACCCTCTTGGGACCCAAAAGTGACACATTTTATTCGAAATATATTGGGGAAAATAAAGAACGTTACACGAAGTGGATCTCAGACTTTGTTTGCAGCTCGACAGTACAGCTCTTCCTTGTGATTTTTGAGAAATGTTTTTGCAAAATTAATTTCGTTCTTCTACTGTATTTACCGTATATATATTATACACCCTTTTATTTATTTATTTATTTATTTATTTATTTATTTATTTATTTATTTATTTATTTATTCAAGGCAAAGTTATTTTTAATCTAAGATAGTGCAGCTATGTCTTTTCTTCAGGCAACGATGAATTCGTTAAATTATTAAGCAATAAAAAAGGGCTTTGTTTTCTGTCTTCTTCCTTTAACCTTCTTTTCTGCTCTTTAAGTTTCTTTCCCTTGTCTTTTGGGAGGCATATATTAGAATCTGAATTGAGCCAAATTCAAAATTTTTGAAAACACGCAAAAGGGCACTTTCTCCTTCATTGCTTGTGACGTGCATTTTGGACCACGCAAGTCTCACTTGCAAACTCCTTGCAAACTCCTTGCGAAGGGAGCAAGTTACGTTTGCGGCCTCGCTGTTCGCAGATTATTTGTAGAATCTATTGGAAATGTTCAATATCATCCGCACGTGCTTACATATGTCCAAATTGAAATTTTGCATAAAGCACCTGCGTGGCACATGAGATTCTCCGCAAAATATAGACTCAAACGGGTCGTAAGAGCCCGTGCAGCCGGTTGTGACCGAGGCTTTAAATATAATAAATTTTAGCATAAATTTTCAAAGAGTGCAGAAAAAATGTTCCTAACAAGCTGCCTTTCGTACAAGACCCCTGTATTTAAGGAATATTAATCATTTCTATAAGTTTGAAGACAAGAGGTAAAAAAATTCTCCACTACTTGTGTTTTGTCTACGAGCGCACGACTATGACGCCGCCGCCGACAGACGTAGAAGATGTAAATGTAAAAAATGCAAAACAATGTGTATTTATATTCAAACAGGTTTGTGAAATCCTTGGTGTAGGTGATTTGTCAAGGGGTTTTAATTGTGGGTTTCTTCCCTTTGCTATTGCGTTTTATTGTCCTTCGGGATCCAGTAACAAAGAACGGTAACAAAGAAGGGGAAATCAGGTAACAAAGAACGACAAAGTCCTGATATTTGTTCAATCCAGGCAGGCAGGTTTTATTATAGATGAGAGGTACTAGTACAATTGAGTATGCCTTCTGAATAAATCTTCTTTCCTTGTAGATTGGTTCAGCTCGGATAATACAGGTACTTCTTATAAGACAATAGTGAAATAAAGGAACAATCTAATGAATAAGTGTATAAGTGTCCAGTTGGCTCTACAAGAGCGGGCCTCGCTTTTGTCTTCCTAGAATGCTATCAAGTTTCTTAAAACTAATTCTTTAAATCATTATGCATAAATAAAACCATTATGACAGATTTAAAAAGCATAAAAACAACATCAACAGGGATTTCCCTGTGGCCATTTTTTCCACATATCTCACCAATATCCAAAGCGGTTTTTCCATTTGAAAAAAGTATTTCTTATACAGTGTAGGCCGTGCTTTCGACTCGTTGACCAATTTATCATATCCTTATGTGAAACAATATCAATGTGAGCTGACAGACTCCCCCCTCATAGACAGTCCAATTCCCATCAATTTGCATAGGTGAGCCCCGCCCTAGTTTTTGATGGGGGCGTCTCGATAGTCCGAAGGTTCATTGGTCCGAAAAGTCGTAACATTTTCATCGATTTTTTTATCATGGGTTCATTGGTCCGGAGTTTCTATAGTGAACATTCGGACCAATGAACCTTCGGACTTTTGAACCTTCGGACTATCGCTACGGCCCCATTTTCACCCACTTACGTAGACTGACCCTATCCTGTATAATTCACTCTCTGTTACCCAGACCCTCAGTTTCGTGGAAATTGCATAGGGGGACCCGGAGTAATGATGTGGGGGAGTATCGGTGCGCGTATAACGGCAATTTTACAGGGCTTTATCGATGCGGGGATCTATCGGTGTGGGGTTGTATCGATGTGGATAATGCAAAAATTTACAAAGGGGAAGTATCGGTGCAGCATGACTCTATGATAGACAGCTTGAGTTGGAAAACCATCCTTATTGCATTCTTTTCCTGGTAATGGAGGGTTTTTCTTTTTCTTTTTTTTTCAAGTGTGGGTCTTTGAACTCCCAAGGGTATGAAGCTGTATGATAGTTATACTGTTAATTATTGAATGCACTTACTCCAGTAGGGGAGACCGGGGCTAGTTGGCCCAGTTAGACACTTTTGGCCTTGTAGAGCCAACTTTATTTTAATTAAGAATAAATTAATAATGGTATAAAGCAGGTTTTTTATGAATGAAAACAATTAAATAATAAATTTTTGTTTTAAAAGAAACTAGCAAATTCAGTTTTAAACTGGTAATTATTTAACAAACCATTTGGTTTGTTTCAACAATGGTCTGTAGCTCTGTTGCGTGCAGTCAAGGGGGCCAACTAGCCCCGGGTGCACATTTTAATTAGTTTAAAGGATTGCAGCCATTTATGGTGCTGGAATGAACATCGATGATACATTTCTGTGAAACTTGAAACAATGAGCTTCAGTTTGATGCCTTTTACATATAGGCCTACTATATTAGATCAAAAGCTGATGAAAATAGATTTTAAAGTCTCTTTAATAAAGTTACTTTAGGATGCTTTCATTTGGACTAAATAAAACTTCTTTACAACCGACGCTTTCTTAGCACTATTGGATACGGTCACTCTACTAAATGATGTGATCAATATTTTTACCCCATATACATGTATAGTTACTTTTTCATAAATTGATGGGGGCCAACTTACCCCAGGGTCCAGCTAGCCCCGATCTCCCCTACAGTACCAGGAGTCCTCTCTGATGCTCTAGTTTTCTTTCTTTTATCTTCAGCCCAAGAAGTTTCAACACAAAAAAACCCACTGTTTCTGCAACCAGGGAATGGGATAAGAACAAGAAGATTTTCTGCAAAATCCCAGGAAACACCCAAATCTGGTAAATTAAGACAAAAAAAATTATTTATTCTAAAAAAAAAAAAATTAAAAATTGTGTGGTAGGAAATGATAGATATCCTAATATTAATATCTTTATTAATGATTTGCATGGCAGAGAATGAATGTCATAAGCAAATATGGCCATGTTTTGGTATCTTTATGATAAAGTTTAAATGACATGTACAGGTGCAGAACAAAGATTAATGTGACTTGACAGTTGCAGTCATATTTAACCTAGTTCTAAGATGAGCAATTCTGATTGGTCTGTCTGTCCGAGTCGTGGCTGTCGCTGTTGCCAGCACTGTTGCTGTGGCTGTTGCCATCACTGTCGCTGTCCGACACATGACGTTCGCCCCATATCTGCCAAACCATATTTTTGTTTTACTTTAAATTTATTGAGTGGCTTTGATTGGTAAAGAAGCAGGTTGCCTTTGAAAATTGGCATGATCATTTTACATTTATACTGTTCTGTTTGTTTGAATTTTTATTTTTCACACATCAGCATTTTCAGTGTCCATGTTACCTGTAGTAAATAATGTAAGAGGGTAAGAAATTTGTACAGTTCAGGTTTCCTGTTGTGCATAATCAAAATTTGGTGTTGATTTTGCTGACAAGCATAAATTAATGTTGTGTCACAACTGAAAAAATTACCCATTTTGTGCGCCATTATTTCCTGCCTTTTGTCTGTGCATTTGACATCTTTGCTGCCCTGTTTACATTTATTATTTTATTTTTGCATCCTTGGAAATATAAAATGTTTACATTTTCAAGCATTGCGAAATGATAATTGTATAAACTTTATTTTTGCATTTGTATGAAATATTTTTACATTTGCTAAAAATCCATTGTGGGCATTTTGCTATTTTATATTTCCTTTTTTTTTTACTGCATGTTAAGGGCTGCATAGTCAGATATGCAAATTTTGATAATATCTGTTTCAAATTCCATTTAATTGCAGAGATTTGTGTCCCCTACCAATGTGCTGATGGGTACTTTGGCTGGCATTGCAAGTTTCAGTGCCAGTGTGCTACAGATGGAGAAGTGTGTGACAAAAGAACTGGCTTCTGTCCTAGTGGCTGTGCTGGAAACAACTGGGGACCTGGATGCCTGCTGGGTAAGCAGTAGAATGGTTGTTGATGAACTGTTGTAATAACCCTTGAACTTCGATATGATTTAAGAAAAAATATGTTCTTTGTTAAGAACTCATTTTTAGTTCTCACATATTGAAATGTTTTAATGCCACAATAAGGCTATAGCCAAATCAATCGTCATAAAATGCATGATTACAAAATGATAAATGGCACCAATACTGGCTTAAGACAAATGGGGCAAGCCAAATTTCCAATTGGAAAATTGATATACTTGTAAATGGTGGCCTTGTGTAAATGCATTTACTTAAAATATTTTGGGATTAATTTTACAATCTGTAACAGTCTGCTGGTATTATATTTCTTCAAGATTCATCATGTTATTATGACTTGAGCAACAGTAAAAAGGATGGGGGCTTCAAATATGCTGGGAAAGTATCAGGGTATGGCACATTTACATGTAATTTGTGGACTGATCCCAATAATCGTCTCAAACTAAATGATGATGATGTTCCTGAAATGAACTTACACTTAGCAAAGAACTACTGCAGGAATTCAAAAAGGCATTCAAGAGTAAAACCCTGGTGTAATAGTGATGGTGGATATATTTACTGTGGTATACAAACATGTGGTGAGTACAGGTGTATGATGTTAAAGTTAGATTTAAGAAATGATTATTCTAAAAATTCCAAATGGTCTTTCCTTTTGTTGCCATATGTGTGTGTATGTAGTCACGCAAGTATACTTGTATTTGATGTGATCATGAATTTATTTTGCAGAAATGAACCCAAGTATAAAACTATTTAGCTCATAGTTTTTTTTCCACAACAGCCCCATTCTGTGATGCCACTGCTTTAGTTTATAATTTAAATTTAAAAAATCAAAATGACCTTGTCTTTTCAATTGTCTAGATTGTCCTGACTACCGCTTTGATGGCCAGAACAACTGCGACNAGGGCCGTAGCCTCCGGGGGGGCAGGGGGGGCAGCTGCCCCCCCTGGGATTTGAGGTGCAAAAAAAAAAAAATAATCGCAAAGGTAAAAAATAAATTCTGATTGAGCAATAAATAACAGTTAAAATGCACCAGAATGCAGTATTATACATACAGTTTTAAATTTTTTTCCATACCCCCTCCCACACCCTCCCCCCTTGGGGGCTTCGCCCCCTCGTGTCCGCTTACTGCCCCCCCTGGCATTTTGCTCAGGCTACGGCCCTGAAGTCCTGATATTTGTTCAGTCCAGGCAGGCAGGTTTTATTATAGATGAGAGGTACTAGTACAATTGAGTATGCCTTCTGAATAAATCTTCTTTCCTTGTAGATCGGTTCAGCTCGGATAATACAGGTACTTCTTATAAGACAATAGTGAAATAAAGGAACAATCTAATGAATAAGTGTATAAGTGTCCAGTTGGCTCTACAAGAGCGGGCCTCGCTTTTGTCTTCCTAGAATGCTATCAAGTTTCTTATAACTAATTCTTTAAATCATTATGCATAAATAAAACCATTATGACAGATTTAAAAAGCATAAAAACAACATCAACAGGGATTTCCCTGCAGCCATTTTTTCCACATATCTCACCAATATCCAAAGCGGTTTTTCCATTTGAAAAAAGTATTTCTTATACAGTGTAGGGCGTGCTTTCGACTCGTTGACCAATTTATCATATCCTTATGTGAAACAATATCAATGTGAGCTGACAGACTCCCCCCTCATAGACAGTCCAATTCCCATCAATTTGCATAGGTGAGCCCTGCCCTAGATTTTGATGGGGGCGTCTCGATAGTCCGAAGGTTCATTGGTCCGAAAAGTGGTAACATTTTCATCGATTTTTTTATCAAGGGTTCATTGGTCCGGAGTTTCTATAGTGAACATTCGGACCAATGAACCTTCGGACTTTTGAACCTTCGGACTATCGCTACGGCCCCATTTTCACCCACTTACGTAGACTGACCCTATCCTGTAAATTCACTCTCTGTTACCCAGACCCTCAGTTTCGTGGAAATTGCATAGGGGGACCCGGAGTAATGATACGGGGGAGTATCGGTGCGCGTATAACGGCAATATTACAGGGCTTTATCGATGCAGGGATCTATCGGTGTGGGGTTGTATCGATGTGGATAGACAGCTTGAGTTGGAAAACCATCCTTATTGCATTCTTTTCCTGGTAATGGAGGGTTTTTCTTTTTCTTTTTTTTTTTCAAGTGTGGGTCTTTGAACTCCCAAGGGTATGAAGCTGTATGATAGTTATACTGTTAATTATTGAATGCACTTACTCCAGTAGGGGAGACCGGGGCTAGTTGGCCCAGTTAGACACTTTTGGCCTTGTAGAGCCAACTTTATTTTAATTAAGAGTAAATTAATAATGGTATAAAGCAGGTTTTTTTATGAATGAAAACAATTAAATAATAAATTTTTGTTTTAAAAGAAACTAGCAAATTCAGTTTTAAACTGGTAATTATTTAACAAACCATTTGGTTTGTTTCAACAATGGTCTGTAGCTCTGTTGCGTGCAGTCAAGGGGGCCAACTAGCCCCGGGTGCACATTTTAATTAGTTTAAAGGATTACAGCCATTTATGGTGCTGGAACGAACATTGATGATACATTTCTGTGAAACTTGAAACAATGAGCTTCAGTTTGATGCCTTTTACATATAGGCCTACTATATTAGATCAAAAGCTGATGAAAATAGATTTTAAAGTCTTTTTAATAAAGTTACTTTAGGATGCTTTCATTTGGACTAAATGAAACTTCTTTACAACCGATGCTTTCTTAGCACTATTGGATACGGTCACTCTACTAAATGATGTGATCAATATTTTTACCCCATATACATGTGTAGTTACTTTTTCATAAATTGATGGGGGCCAACTTACCCCAGGGTCCAGCTAGCCCCGATCTCCCCTACAGTACCAGGAGTCCTCTCTGATGCTCTAGTTTTCTTTCTTTTATCTTCAGCCCAAGAAGTATCAACACAAAAAAACCCACTGTTACTGCAACCAGGGAATGGGATAAGAACAAGACGATTTTCTGCAAGATCCCAGGAAACACCCAAATCTGGTAAATTAAGACAAAAGAAATTATTCTGAAAAAAAAAAAAAATTAAAAATTGTGTGGTAGGAAATGATAGATATCCTAATATTAATATCTTTATTAATGATTTGCATGGCAGGGAATGAATGTCATAAGCAAATATGGCCATGTTTTGGTATCTTTATGATAAAGTTTAAATGACATGTACAGGTGCAGAACAAAGATTAATGTGACTTGACAGTTGCAGTCATATTTAACCTAGTTCTAAGATGAGCAATTCTGATTGGTCTGTCTGTCCGAGACGTGGCTGTCGCTGTTGCCAGCACTGTTGCTGTGGCTGTTGCCTTTCCTGTCACTGTCCGACACATGACGTTCGCCCCATATCTGCCAAACCATATTTTTGTTTTACTTTAAATTTAAGTGGCTTTGATTGGTAAAGAAGCAGGTTGCCTTTGAAAATTGGCATGATCATTTGACATTTATACTTTTCTGTTTTTTTTTCTGTTTGTTTGAATTTTTATTTTTCACACATCAGCATTTTTAGTGGCTTTTATATCCCATGAAATTGAATCACTTGTTAGTTTTTCAGTGTTCATGTTACCTGTAGTATATAATGTAAGAGGGTAAGAGTGATTGTGCTGTTTTAAAGCATTATGTAACAGTGCATCAAAGTTGGCCAAAACATTATTTGGTGCACTTTTTTTCTTCGTAATGTTGGAACATTTGTCATCTTTGCTGCCTTTTTTATCTGTATATTTGTCAGCTTTGCTGTCTAGTTGTTGTTTTGAAATGATTATTTTTCACATCATGTCAGTTTCAAGGTGCCACTTTGAACCTGCATGGACCTGAAGACCTTTAATTGCTCGTAACATTTTCTTGATATCCATGATAGTTATAATACATTATAGTAAATTGGTGGTGATCCTGCCCTTAATATAAGCATTATGTAATATTGCATCAACAAAAGTTGAAAAAATCTTATTTGGGCACTACTGTCACATAGACAATTAAAGGATTACCATGTTACTTTTGATTCTCAAACTGCAGAAAAGATTCATAAGGATTTTATACTGTCTGGATTAAAAAAAAATTAAATAAAACAACAGCCTGAAAGAAATGCATTTTTTTGTGAAATCTATGTTTTTTACATATTGGCTATATCAGTGTGGGACTTAGAACCCTTATGGGCATGAAGTGATATGTTAGGTACTGTATCTGAATGTCCATGTTATGATTTGTAGATAATGAAACTTTGGTGATGATTATGCTGTTAATCATTATGTTATATTGCATCCAAATTAAAAAAATACAATTTTGTGCACTGCCACTAAAAATGCTATGAAAGGAAAACTGTTTTCAAATTACTTATTATTTTCTTACTTACAAGAATGATTCTTAGGATTGACATACAGCTCATATTGGAAAACCAGCTTGATTGGATTGTTTTTCTGGATTTATGCAGTTTCTGAAATTTTTGTCTTTCTTATTCTGGCATTTTCAGTGTGTGAATTTGAACTCTCATTGGCCTGAAGCCACTTGATAGTTACATGCACAAAGTTTTACAGTTCAGGTTTCCTGTTGTGCATAATCAAAATTTGGTGTTGATTTTGCTGTCAAGCATAAATTAATATTGCATCAAAACTGAAAAAATGACCTATTTTGTGCGCCATTTATTTCCAGCCTTTTGTCTGTGCATTTGACATCTCTGCTTCCCTGTTTACATTTATTATTTTATTTTTGCATCCTTGAAAATATAAAAGGTTTACATTTTCAAGCATTGTGAAATGATAATTGTATAAACTTTATTTTTGCATTTGTATGAAACATTTTTACATTTGCTAAAAATCCATTATGGGCATTTTTTACTGCATGGTTAAGAGGTACATAGTCAGATCGCAAATTTTAATAATATCTGTTTCAAATTCCATTTAATTGCAGAGATTTGTGTCCCCTACCAATGTGCTGATGGGTACTTTGGCTGGCATTGCAAGTTTCAGTGCCAGTGTGCTACAGATGGAGAAGTGTGTGACAAAAGAACTGGCTTCTGTCCTAGTGGCTGTGCTGGAAACAACTGGGGACCTGGATGCCTGCTGGGTAAGCAGTAGAATGGTTGTTGATGAACTGTTGTAATAACCCTTGAACTTCGATGTGATTTAAGAAAAAAACATGTTCTTTGTTAAGAACTCATTGTTAGTTCTCACATATTGAAATGCTTTAAGGCCACAATTGGGCTATAGCCAAATCAATCATCATTAAATGCATGATTACAAAATGATAAGTGGCACCAATGCTGGCTTTAGAAAAATGGGACAAGCGAAATTCCCAATTGGAAAATTGATACACTAGTAAATGGTGGCCTTGTGTAAATGCATTTACTTAAAATATTTTGGGATTAATTTTACAATCTGTAACAGTCTGCTGGTATTATATTTCTTCAAGATTCATCATGTTATTATGACTTGAGCGACAGTAAAAAGGATGGGGGCTTCAAATATGCTGGGAAAGTATCAGGGTATGGCACATTTACATGTAATTTGTGGACCNTATATATATATATGGACATCCATGGTACTGGGTCCCAGATTTAAGCCTTGTTTGAGTGTCATTTTCAGCTATGAATTAAAAATTTTAAAATACTCAGCATTGATTTGAAACTCAAAATTTTGTTATAATTAGATAAATCCATCCCCTGTATCACATGAAAGCACCCACACTGTAATCCAACACATAAAAATATTTTGAAAGACTTTCAAATATGATAACCCATTGTTGTTAGCCAGTATCATGGACATATATATATATATATATATATATATATATATTTTTTTTTTTTATTGACATATATATATATTTTTTTCTCTTTCTTTAAATCAAGTATGATTTTAGTTATTGTATACAAATTTTCTAAATGATGTCCCTTTCCATATAATTTTCAGAGCCTCGTAGACTTAAGACCAGCCAGTTCCACATACAGGAGGTTTCCGATTCTAATAGAATAGTTATCAGGGTTACTTGGAATGTGAGTTTTATATTAAGAATGAAAATTAAGAAAAAACTTAAACAATACAGTTACATGCAGTTATCTTGAAAGTAAACTGAAGAAGTAAATTGTGTCGTAAGGTCCTTCTAAATTAACATTTTTTAACATTTAAATTTATATGTGATATGTTTAATATTTGGCTTTTTGAGAGAATAACTGATCAAGACTGGAAATGCCGGGATGGAAGAGAGATTGAAATCAGGTATAAGAATGGAACTGATGCTGGCGAGGTAACACAAACTGTTGCAGCCAATGCAAGGTACAAAGATTTTGACACTGCTGCCTGCACACACTGGAGCATCCAGATAAAGCTTTCTAACCAAAAGGACAATTCTGGCTTTTCAAGGCCAAACTCCATAACAATTTCAAGAGGTTTGTTGACAAAACATCCATGTTTATTTATTTGTTAATTTGTATCTTATTGTGACCTTAAAATTTGCCTTTGACCTACATGTACTTTTCATCATGAACAGAACTTTGCAAGGTTTCAATCCCTATATCTCCAAAACTAACAGAGGTAGGCCCATAGTTACCATTGAACTTTAATAGGAAGTCATATACTGGCAACCTAAATGTGACCTTGAAATTGACCTTTGACCAACTTTTCACTATGAACTGAACTTTGCAAGGTTTCCATCCCAAATCTCCAAAACCGGCAGAGATAGTGAATGGCCATAGTTGCTATTGAACTTGAGTAGGAAGATACACTGGCAATCTAACTTTGACCTTGAAGTTGACCTTTGACCTACTTTTTGCCGTGAACCACACTTCACAAATTTGGATTTAAACTTTTTCTGTACCCCATGATTTTGTTTTAAATGGTGATTTTCAACAAAAATATTGGGATATCGTGTTTACTGCATTTTGTAGAGCTTGTCAACTACAACACTGTAGGTCCTAGTCTTAGGTCCTCCTGTCCAAGCTAGGACATTGGGCGTCAAACTTTTTCCAACTTGTTCGGTCGGCAGCCGCCCTTTCTATCTCCTCCCACCTGATGTTGCCTCTTTGCAGATCATTCTGGAGGTGGTGTCCCTTTATTTTGGTTTTCCATACAAAAGTGCTTACTCCAGCTGGTGGTACAACACTCAGAGGCAGTATCGCCTCTCTGATCCTCTAGTTTATTTAAATGGAGTCTCTTGCTTGTGCACTCGACTTGTTTTTATGGCCATACCTGTAATTATATAATGCAAGTGGACGTATGCAATTTGAGTAATTAAAATTAGTATGCACCATGAAATAGTGCAGCATTGAATCCACCTTAGATAAGAAATTTGTATGTGTATTCAGAGGTAATATCTGGAAGTTCAAAGAGAGGAGATTTGATGGTGACTGCATGGAAGAATTAGGAAGACAGACACATGGGAGATGGTACAGAAGTTGGAGACTTCATGTACTAGTAGATCATGTACCTAGTAAGCATCATCAAATAAACCGTTAAACTGGTCATTATGTGTCCTTGGGGTTTTTTTTTTGAGTGACTTTATGTAAAACTGACATGAACCGTGGAATTGTGGATTGCATTTTGCGCATTATAAAAAGTTATCATTACATAGGTTTGAAAAAATGTCATTACTCTATGATTTGATTAATATTTGATTAATAATGATGATTGTGCCTGAAGTGACATGTAGTGGTGTAAGACATGAAGCTGAGTGGTCATTTTTAGCTGGAGGTGAAGGGGAGAGAAGATGTAGGCTCAGAGAAAAAAGCGGTGGTCACAAATCTGAGGCACCTGATGGCAAATGCCAATTTTCTTTTGTGAGACCTAACTTAATTACCATATCAAATTACATGTATGGTACAAACATGTGTGTACTAGAAGTCCATCCAAAGGACCCATAAGGTTCTGAGATAATTTGGAAAACAGTTTTCAAGGGTAAAGTACATTTATTTTAGAAAAATGCATATACTAAAGCTAGAATAAGACAAATGTATGTGACTGTGTATATTCTAGTGGAGCCCAGTGAAGTCCCTGTCTTGACCACCCAGCAACTAAATGACCAAGGGTCAATAAAGTTCATGTGCTCTGGTCAGCTTGGACGTCCAGCTAAGGGGATCACGTGGTACCAGACTCTGAACTATCAGCAACAAAATAGGACCTCAGATGCCCAGTCAAGTGATCCCGTCCTGAATAGTGATGGCTGCACATATAATGGACAGAGTGAGCTAAGAGCAGATGTCTCAGCCTCTGATGATGGCACACAGTTTACATGTATGATTGGACAAAAGTGGGCCAGTGTGTCACTGAGTATGTATTAGATAAAATGTAACAACAATTTTGGGCACTGCCACCATTTTTACCATTTTAGGAAAACCATGTCACTTATTAATTATTCTCAAACTTACAGGAAAGAAACATAGGACTTAAATACAGCTTTTTGTGAAATTTTCATTTTTCATATACTGGCATTTTCAAGGTGTGACTTTGATCTTCCATGGGCTTAAAACCTTTGCTAGTCACACTTTTGAATATCCATGATAGCTATATTTTATGATTAAAAATTGCAATATTTCAGCTGCTGCCAGCAACCCTAAGATCACTTACATCTCCACAGGTGCTCTCTCCATCATAGACTCAGCAATGGACAGTGTGGAGTTTGTCAAAGGTTCAGCCGTCACTCTCATTTGCTCAGCCACTGGTCACCCTCAACCTAACTTCAAATGGTTATATTGGGAAGAGTTATCCAACACCAGAGAAGTACTAAATGGACACCGCGATAACCCCTCAGTGCTTTATCTAGATCACATTCAGCAACCTGGATACTATGAGTGCCAGGCCAGTAACATTGTGAACCAGTTACATGGTTTACCTAGCACGGTCCTGAAAATCACACTATCAGGTAAATGATAGTAGTTGTAAATTAAGGGGTGTCATTCCCAAGGGCACCTTTTGTGCTACAATTTTGTCAATGTCGCTTTCACTGTTGCCGCAGCTGTCGCTGTCCGACACATGATATTCCCTTGATTAACTTTCAAACCGTACATTTGTTTTACTTTGAATTTACTGAGTGGCTTTGTGTGGTAAAAAGGAAGGTTACTTTCGAAAAGCAGCATGATATACAGTAATTATTTAAAGCCGATGAAACTGAATTACTTTCTAGTTTTTTCTATGTCCAAGATACCTGTAACACATAATGTAAGAGGGTAAGAGTGATTTATATGCTGTTTTAAAGCATTATGTAATAGTGCATCCGAAATTGACCAAAGCATTATTTGGTGCACTCTTTTCTGCATCTGAATGTCTGAATATTTGTCAGCTTTGCTGCCTTGTTTCCTGTATGGTGTCTGTATATTTGTCAGCTTTGCTGTCTAGTTTTATGTATTAAATTTTAATTTTTCACATATTAACAATGTCAGTAGAAAATAAATCACTTGCTAGTTAAATTTCAGTGTCTATTTTATCTTAACATTTGTCAGCTTTGCCGACTTGTTCCAAATAATGCTCAGAATAAACCTGTCATGATGGTGAATACCATTTGTTTACTTGACATCATTTCAGAGCCAGCTACTGGGGCCACAGTGGGGGGTCTATTAGGAGAGGCCATAGGGGAGATGATAGGAGCCATCCTGGGGGTCACTGTGATGATTGCCTTGGCTTATGTCACCTACACCTACTGTGTCAAAAAGAAACACAAAACAAGAGGTGAAGAAAAAGGTAAATAAATTGTAAATGCTAAAACAACAACTACTGGTATGTGTGCTTCCACTATTATTGTGAAAATTTGAAAATTTTGTTGGAAAACGATTTCACTTTGAAAATCTCAAACTTGAGTATGGACCTCTCAATAATTTTAAAAAGTTCATCACCCAGTATGCATGCTATATGTCAGATTCATGCATTTTGAAATATTAAAAGGATAATTACTCTTCATATGAGATCTATATTTCACAATTAAAACATTGCGAACAACTCATAGAAATTTAACATATTCTGTTTCACCACAAAAACAGCAGTTATAGCTATTTTTCTGATATGTGAGCTTGTCTTTAGACCATGTGACCTTCATTGATGGCTATACACTGTTATAATCTCGTAAGAGATTATTACAATCAAACTTTTTAGAAAAAAACCAGGTACTAACTTTGAATGTTAAAATGGATTCATAAACCATTGGTAAGTATGGGAAATTGTTGTTTACTCCAGGAAAATTCATTTTTTGATCAAAATGAAGAGTTATAATCCCTTTAATTAGTTTTCAATGACAAACTTTTCAAATTTTTTTTTTGTAACTTGAACACTTAAGCTGTTTCATTTCTTCCTATTCTGCTTTGCTCATAAAACTTGCTCCCAAATTTTCCGTGATCTCCCCTCCCCCCTTTTAAAGATGCATGTGTTTAGCCCATCTGTTTTTTCATTGTAGTGTCACAAAGAAACAATGTACATGTTGAAGCTGAAGACAGTGAGCTTCAGACCTTTCTGAGTGGTGAGGTGAATATCATACTCAAAAATGCAGGGTCTGGATTAAAAATTGGTCATAAAGTCTGAGAATTACAGTATAGTATAGTACAGTCCCTTTGTAAAGGGTTGCATGTGATAACAGCTATTACTTTTATCTTTGAAATAAACTGAAATTTACCATTTACAGGTGAAATATTGTAGTAAGAATATCTTAATGTCAGTTGATTGTACTTTTAAAAGAATGAAGTATTAAGGATATTGTCACCCTTCACCCCAAACTTCTTATTTTCTGCCCTACATTCTTGTGAGTTATAAATAAATCTTCAGTGTTTAGTGACTAGATTATTTAACAATTTAACAACTGTGCCCTGAATACCCCGCGGCGTACTGGCAGCGCAGGGAGAAACTGGCTCGCGCTGCCAGTGATTACGCCGCATGGTCACAGACCATGATCACAAGATACCGCGAATAGAAAATAGATTTTTAGAAAATAGACTTTCCATGTGAACGGTCCCTAAGTAAGAAAACCAGCCTTATTCCATTCATTTTCTGGAAGTTACGCATAATTAAGACTTGGTGTTGACTTGGCTATTAAGCATAATGTATTATTGCATCAGTTTTAATAAAATAACCTATTTTGTGCAACTTTTTTTTCTACTTTTTTAATAATATTTGTCTGAATATTTGACAGCTTTGCTGCCTTATCTTGATGTTGATATTTATATGAATTTAAACTTAAAGTTTAAGCCGATGGGAGAGCGACTGTATGCAGCGATTAAGGAGAGAGATGTGGAGATAAGATGGAATATCAAGTTGATGGAAAAGATAGGAAACGGGGCTTTTAGCCAAGTCTTCAGGGGCAGCATTTTCAATCTAGATGGAAAACAAAATTGGAGCATTGTTGCTGTTAAAACTGCAAAGGGTAAATATTGATTCCAACAATTTTTAATAGTTGTGATACTTCAGTCCATTAAAAATCAGATGATTTTAGCATGTACTTCAATAAGATAAACTTATATTTGTAGATACAAGTGACACTTCCCTCTACAGTGAGATTATGAAAGAACTGAAAGTGANTTACAATTTTGTCGATGTCGCTTTCACTGTTGCCGCCGCTGTTGCTGTCCGACACATGATATTCCCTTGATTAACTTTCAAACCATACCATTTGTTTTACTTTGAATTTACTGAGTGGCTTTGTGTAGTAAAAAGGAAGGTTACTTTCGAAAATCAGCATGATATACAGAAATTATTTAAAGCCGATGAAACTGAATTACTTTCTAGTTTTTTCTATGTCCAAGATACCTGTAACACATAATGTAAGAGGGTAAGAGTGATTTATATGCTGTTTTAAAGCATTATGTAATAGTGCATCTGAAATTGACCAAAGCATTATTTGGTGCACTCTTTGCTGCATCTGAATGTCTGAATATTTGTCAGCTTTGCTGCCTTGTTTCCTTTATGGTGTCTGTATATTTGTCAGCTTTGCTGTCTAGTTTTATGTATTAAATTTTAATTTTTCACATCTTAGCAATGTCAGTAGAAAATAAATCACTTGCTAGTTAATTTTCAGTGTCTATTTTATCTTAACATTTGTCAGCTTTGCCGACTTGTTCCAAATAATGCTCAGAATAAACCTGTCATGATGGTGAATACCATTTGTTTACTTGACATCATTTCAGAGCCAGCTACTGGGGCCACAGTGGGGGGTCTATTAGGAGAGGCCATAGGGGGGATGATAGGAGCCATCCTGGGGGTCACTGTGATGATTGCCTTGGCTTATGTCACCTACACCTACTGTGTCAAAAAGAAACACAAAACAAGAGGTGAAGAAAAAGGTAAATAAATTGTAAATGCTTAAACAACAACTACTGGTATGTGTGCTTCCCCGATTATTGTGAAAATTTGAAAATTTCGTTGGAAAACGATTTCACTTTGAAAATCTCAAACTTGGGTATGGACCTCTCAATAATTTTAAAAAGTTCATCACCCAGTATGCATGCTATGTCAGATTCATGCATTGTGAAATATTAAAAGGATAATTACTCTTCAAATGAGATCTATATTTCAAAATAAAAACATTGCGAACAACTCATAGAAATTTAACATATTCTGTTTCACCACAAAAACGGCAGTTATAGCTATTTTTCTGATATGTGAGCTTGTCTTTAGACCATGTGACCTTCATTGATGGCTATACACTATTATAATCTCTTAAGAGATTATTACAATCAAACTTTTTAGAAAAAAACCAGGTACTAACTTTGAATGTTAAAATGGATTCATAAACCATTGGTAAGTATGGGAAAATTGTTGTTTACTCCAGGAAAATTCATTTTTTGATCAAAATGAAGAGTTATAATCCCTTTAATTAGTTTTAAGTGACAAACTTTTCAAAAATTTTTTTTGAAACTTGAACATTTAAGCTGTTTCATTTCTTCCTATTCTGCTTTGCTCATAAAACTTGCTCCCAAAATTTCCGTGATCCCCCCTCCCCCTATTTAAAGATGCATGTGTTTAGCCCATCCGTTTTTTCATTGTAGTGTCACAAAGAAACAATGTACAGGTGGAAGCTGAAGACAGTGAGCTTCAGACCTTTCTGAGTGGTGAGGTGAATATCATACTCAAAAATGCAGGGTCTGGATTAAAGATTGGTCATAAAGTCTGAGAATTACAGTATAGTATAGTACAGTCCCTTTGTAAAGGGTTGCATGTGATAACAGCTATTACTTTTATCTTTGAAATAAACTGAAATTTACCATTTACAGGTGAAATATTGTAGTATGAATATCTTAATGTTAGTTGATTGTAATTTTAAAAGAATGAAGTATTAAGGATATTGTCACCCTTCACCCCAAACTTCTTATTTTCTGCCCTACATTCTTTTGAGTTATAAATAAATCTTCAGTGTTTAGTGACTAGATTATTTAACAATTTAACAACTGTGCCCTGAATACCCCGTGGCGTACTGGCAGCGCAGGGAGTAACTGGCTCGCGCTGCCAGTAATTACGCCGCATGGTCACAGACCGTGATCACAAGATACCGCGAATAGAAAATAGATTTTTAGAAAATAGACTTTCCATGTGAACGGTCCCTAAGTAAGAAAACCAGCCTTATTCCATTCATTTTCTGGAAGTTACGCATAATTAAGACTTGGTGTTGACTTGGCTATTAAGCATAATGTATTATTGCATCAGTTTTAATAAAATAACCTATTTTGTGCAACTTTTTTTCTACTTTTTTAATAATATTTGTCTGAATATTTGACAGCTTTGCTGCCTTATCTTGATGTTGATATTTATATGAATTTAAACTTAAAGTTTAAGCCGATGGGAGAGCGACTGTATGCAGCGATTAAGGAGAGAGATGTGGAGATAAGATGGAATATCAAGTTGATGGAAAAGATAGGAAACGGGGCTTTTAGCCAAGTCTTCAGGGGCAGCATTTTCAATCTAGATGGAAAACAAAATTGGAGCATTGTTGCTGTTAAAACTGCAAAGGGTAAATATTGATTCCAACAATTTTTAATAGTAGTGATACTTCAGTCCATTAAAAATCAGATGATTTTAGCATGTACTTCAATAAGATAAACTTGTATTTGTAGATACAAGTGACACTTCCCTCTACAGTGAGATTATGAAAGAACTGAAAGTGATGCTGGAACTCCAACCTCACCCAAATGTGGTCAGGCTTTTAGGATCCTGCACTCGAGATGACGGTATGTAGACATGTTATATAATATAAATCTAATAAATTTTCAAATCACTGTAAATGTAGCACTGAATTCATATAACTATGTTAATCAATAGGAAAGGACAAATCAGTTGTGAGGAGTACTCACCATAAAATTAAAGTTTACTTCTGTTTTTTTTTTTTTTTTTGCAATTTCAATAGCTCCCTGTGGAACACCTGTACATAAGTGGTAAATTGCCAACCTTAAAGTTAATTGACACATTCTTTTAGAATAAATTGAAGCGATCTATTTTAGCTGTGCCATTAATTATTGTCGAGTACCTTCCAAATGGAAATCTCCAGGACTATCTACGAAATGACCGTTCAAAACGGAAAGTGCAGTATAGGAATTTACATGGGATCAGCTCCTCCTTGACACCACATGATCTGATAAAGTTTGCATTAGATGTGGCCAATGGAATGTCATATCTTTCATCAATGGCGGTAAGCTAGGAAAAACAATTATTTTATGAAAACAGATAATTCCTTCTTATTGCTTATTTTGTTCATTTTCTATATCACCAAATTTTGCCTCATAGTCAGTAAAGATCACTTTTTTATAAACTTTGAAAGAAAATAAGATGTGCCATTATTTTCATTACAACGTGAGATCAACAGTCTCAATATTTACATTGTAGATTCTACATCGAGACCTTGCTGCGCGAAACATTTTGGTAGCAGAGGATAGAACCTGCAAGATTTCTGACTTCGGCTTTGCTAAGGATGTCATTGAAAGTCACAAGTATGAAAAACAATCGCAGGTCAGTGAATGTTTTTGTACATAAAAACCAAAAAAATATTTACTTTGCATTCTTACCTGAAACTTAGCATTAGCAATCTTGGATAATTATTTTATGATATCCATTATCAGTACTAGTACACTTCAGAAAGTGTTACCGCTAATGATTTGCATGCTTCCGGAAGACCCAGTAGACGGCCTCAATCGGCCCCTGGGTGTGTACAATTTTAAGCAGCATAGTTAATTTAAGTATAACTGCACATTTTTGTATGCATTGTAAGGATGTGTAAATAAACTTATATAGACAGGTGTTATCATCTGACAATTGCAATAACCACTTGACAGATAAACATGTATATGTTTTGTTAATGTTACTCTTTAATAGGGTCGCTTGCCAATTCGCTGGATGTCCCCAGAAGCTCTGTTTGACAATATATATACCACGCAGTCTGACGTCTGGGCGTATGGAGTCTTGCTGTGGGAGATTGTCACATTGGGTAAGATTGCCTGATGGTCAAGTTCATAAAAGTCTTGGAATGTTCTTGTTGTAAACGAAAGGTTTAGCAAGCAAGTATTATGAAATTGTGATCATGTGTCCTATTGTTCAAGGGGTAATCATGTTTTTTGATAACACGTATGACTCTGCAGTATTTTAATTTTGAGAATTACAGCTTATTATTCAATATCTGGTATCTTTTCGATAAAATGTCTTCTGTGCCCCAGGATTTTTATCAGACTTATTTAAATGTGGTGCAAAAAGTAACTTAATAAGGTATGAATGTTGTTAGAATTATTATTTGTTTAAATATTAATATTATTATCATTATTATTATTTGTGTAATACTTGACATTGAATTTTCATTCACACAATATGTGTACTTTTTTATTTTGATCAGAAGTTTTTAAGGGATAATTTAGTAGAGTTTCATTTCTGACATCTACAATTCTCACTGCTGCTTATATTATTAAGGTTTCAGTCCCTACCCAGGTATGTCAGCCAAGCAGGTGATGGAAGCTTTAAGTGAGGGTTACCGGATGCCACAACCACCACACTGTTCACAGGACATGTAAGTATATACAATGTTAATTTTGGGATTATATGTATACATATTTAAAAATTGCTTGGACCATGTAAAATAATGTTTTACTTAAAGTCCCTTTGTGTTACTTCTCACTTCAGGTATATCATCATGTTGTCCTGCTGGGAAGAGGTCCCAAGTTCAAGGTCAACATTCAAAGACATTGTTAATTCCTTGGACGTCCTCCTGGCCTCGGAGAGTGATGTTCTTACTCTGGGGAAGTTTGAGGAAAAACTGTACGAGGACATTGACAACAACAAAGTGAAAGAAAAATGTTGAGGAATATTTGAAATATTCATGGTCTCGCTTGGTCATTAGTATACATTGTAGCTTTGCCCAGTATTTGATTGTGTTTAATGAAATAGGCGTAGTGAGTATATACTGGCATTTGATGCATAATATCCAGTCTGTCAAAACAGGTTTGAAATGTCCACACAGGGACAGGAGTAGCAGTGCTGTTTGTGACATATATAGCAACCAAATAATGGTTTAATGTTTATGCAGGAAGGTTATAAGTGGCAAAGAGAGCATTCGGAACAGCANGTATTTGATTGTGTTTAATGAAATATGCGTAGTGAGTATATACTGGCATTTGATGCATAATATCCAGTCTGTCAAAACAGGTTTGAAACATCCACACAGGGACAGGAGTAGCAGTGCTGTTTGTGACATATATAGCAACCAAATAATGGTTTAATATTTATGTAGGAAGGTTATAAGTGGCAAAGAGAGCATTCGGAACAGCAGACTAACAGATCTGCAGATCAAATATTGATGACCCAATTAGAATGCTTGTTGTGTGACCCGATGGGGAATGTATTCAGTGTCTAATCAGGAATTAAGCGGCAAGTTTCAAGTTGGTGGCTATATTTGATCCACGATTCTGTTAGTCTGCTGTTCTAAATGCATAAAAACCATTTGACTCAGTAAAAGTTGCATCCTAGTATGAAGGGCTGCTTTATTCACTGACAATGGGAGTTGGCTCAAACTGACCCAAAGTAACCCCCCTTGATTGAATGAGAAGGAATCAACGTAACATTAGATCCAATTTTCCTTGTTTTGACAGTCATTTCTGGTTTCTTAGCAATGAATCAAGTATTTTTATTATGGGTTCATGAAACTAGGTACTTTACTAGGGCTTAATTCCAGAGCATAAAATTATTATTAGCTTTTCACACTACGGCCGTATTTATAAGACCCCATTCCCAGATATTGGATCGATCCAAACTACCTGTAGATCGACCTAACTCCCTGGGGGTTCACATTAAATAGCTGTCAGCCGAGCGGGCACGAAAGTTAATTACCCCTTTACAGCTTGTAGTAGGCGGGATGGACATTTAAGCTGGATTATCTGACAGTAATCTAGTAAGACTCCCCATGGGGATAGATTGATCTGAATGTCTGGGAATACCCCTATCTGTAACAGGCAGCACTGTGCAGGCCTTTTTTGTGTATATTGCCTCTATTGCCAGCAATGAATTATTGTCGCATATGCCATACTTAAGTTCTGCTCTTCCTGCTTCTCAGGCATATTTAATATTTTAGAAGCCTTTACTATTTTCATATAAAATTATAATATTTAATAAGAAAGTCTTGTGCTTTAATAGTTATTTCTTTTATTTACATTCTTCGAATGCCCTTTTTATTGATAACACATACTTGTATATATGATTCCAACTTGGTTTTTATTCATCATGGTATACATGTCACACACTGAGTCTAGTGGAAAATGGTTCTACAATTTTTGCAAAATATTCCTGGTATGGAGATGGGCCATGTATGCAGCTTTTTAATTATTAAGTGGGATTATTGTAAGTGGACCAGCCGTCCATGTTGTTTTGTGTGATGTAGACTGGTGAGATCCATAGAGACCATTCCCACAGATATTGTTCTAACTTTGGATCGATCTATCTCCTAGGAGATTCTCACTAAATTGCTATCAACTTAAGCAGCTTTAATGTCTGTCATGCCTACTAAAGCTGTTAGGGGGTAATAAAATACCGGAGGCCAAGCATGCATGAAAGTTAATTATATATAATTGCCCCCTAGCTGATTCGAAAGGTGTGGCAGACATTGAAGCCACTTAAGTTGATAGCAATTTAGTGTGAATACCTGTGGAGTTAGACCGATCCTGTTGGATCAATCTAGGCATAGGGACCCAGGCATAGAAAGTAATTTCTAGTCTTGAAGCTTGCTACTTTGTTGACTACTAAATCTGATATACAAATAAATGAGCAATTTTTACCCATTGAAATAGGAAAATACGTTAACAAAGGTGATAAGCCAACTTGGCCTCGAAAAGCTCCACACTGTACCTGGTGCCAAAATGCAAAATGACTGCAAATGCATTGGGAGATGATTTAAACTTTATTTGTAAGTACCTAAAGGAACAGATCTTTAAAGTCATTTTAGTATTACTAGTAAGATCAGTTTTGTTGTATTTGAACAAACTCAACACTTTATGCACTATGCTGACCAAAACAATGCATGTTGACACTTCACTTGGTTTATTTTTTCAACTCCTTGTGCATGCCTACAACAGACATTACATACATATGAGGAGGAAAGAACAGACTACCATCACAAAGATGAAGACACTTTTACCACAGAGAATATCACCATCATTACTGACAATGATGTCTATGAAATACTTACTGGCATAAAAAGGACCACGCCAGGTGTCATCACAACAATTAAAAAATCCTTTCTACAACTCTCAATGACATGTTCAGATGACAGAAACAGAAAACAAACTACTACCTTAAAACATTGCTATGTTGGACAACTTATAATTAAGGACAATCATATTTTGTACTTGATACGATTTAAATTATTTCATTTTTTAATGTATCAAATTTATATATCCAATGACTTAGGCTTCGTTCACATGCAATGTCTATTTTCTAAATTCTATTTTCTATTCGCGCTATCTTATGATCACGGTCTGTACACTGAATATCCCGCCGCGTAATTACTGGCAGCGCGAGCCAGTTACTATAAGTACAAAATATGATTGTCCTTAAAGTAACTGGCTCGCGCTGCCAGTAATTACGCGGCGGGATATTCAGTGCACAGACCGTGATCATAAGACTTGCCGCAAATAGAAAATAGAATTTAGAAAATAGACATTGCATGTGAACGAAGCCTTAGTGACAGTATAAACAGTTAAAAAAGAAATACCATTTTGTTCACTTACAAAAATATCAAACTCCAAATGAATATTTGATTAAACCACAACACATATTACAGACTTTACATAAACAGATTCAATGCCAGCTAGGCAAATGAGATGTTGAAAGAGTTTAAAATCTCAAAAAATAGAAAGGAAAAAATGAAAAAAAAAAAAAAAAAAAACACCTGTAAATGTAATACTATATGCTTTGTCTAAAATAATTCAATGTTTTATTGCTGTTCTCTGTCAGCACCATTTTGATAATTTATGTTATCAACTGAATACTACAGTCCACGTAACACTGGCAACATTCTATATCAGTTAACCATTAGGAATACTGAACTGTAGTCAGCAGATGAATTTCTAGCATTACCTGAGTGTCCCTAGTGCTGTCTTCCTGACTTGTTAACAACTGACCACTAAGTCAAGGCCTTGGGTTGCCGGACCAGGGTGGAAATA